GGTGGTGGGTGGGTGGTGGTGGTTGGTGGATCGTCGTCGTCGTCGCCGCCGTCGCCGCCGTTGTCGTCGTCGACGACGGTGGCGACGACGGCGACGGTGCCGGAGCGGCGGTGGCCGCCGGCGCACGCGGCGTGCGCCGGCGTGCGGCACGCCTGCCTGCCCTGGGCCGCTGGCGGGCTGCTGGCGCACGCCTCCCGGCGAGGCCGTGGCGGCGAGGCGCGCAGGGGCAGGGCCTCCTCCTCCTCCTTCTCCTCCTTCTCCTCCTTGTCCTCCTCCTCCTCCTCCTCCTCCTCCTCCTCCTCCTCCTCCTCCTCCTCCCCCTCGTCGTCGTCGTCGTCCTCCTCCTGTTCCTCCTCCTCCTCCTCCTCCTCCTCCTCCTCCTCCTCCTCCTCCTCCTCCTTCTCCCCTCTGGGACCGTCTTGCGGGTTTCTTGAGCCGTCTTTGGGCGATCTTGGGGGCTTATGGGCCCGTTTCCGAACGTCGGGATCCCGAGAAGGCGAGAACGCGAAGCTCATGGAACACACGCAGAATAATCACAGACGTTGGCCTCCGGGTGTCCTCCTGGAGCCCATTTGGGGCGTCTAAGGGGCCTCTTGGCCTTCAGAAGCCGTCTTGGGCCGTCTTGGCGCCGTCTTATTGGCCTTCTGAACTCTCTCAGGGCCCTCTTCGACCGTCTTGCACGCCTGTTGGAGGCCCTTTGGGCCGTCTTGGGGCGATCTTGCGGCCTATGAGCTCGTCTGGAGGCGTCGGGTGCCTGAAAGGGCGAGGCCGCTTAAATCATTTAACAACCTAATGGGACTCAAGGATTTTTGCCCCCTGGAGGTCCTCTTGAAGCTCTCCTGGGGCGTCCACGGGGCCTCCTGGTCATTTGGGGCCTCTTGGGGGAATCTCAATGGCCTGGGGGATCTTGGGGCCATGTTGGGGCGGAGGGCTCAACGTGTCAGTTCGTGCTCCCTTTCTTGGGCCTGCTTGGGGTAATGTTTGGCCCCTCTTGGGGGCTCTCGGCTAGTTTTTGGGCGGTCTTGGGCGCTCTGGGCCGACGTGGACGCCCGAAAGACCAAAAAGGATGGTAATATCAACACCATACCAAGCACATGTGTTTTGATGAGTTTGGCCTCTTGAGCCGCCCTCCAGGGCTTCCAAGATGGCCCAGGACGCGTCCGAGAGGGCTCCAGGACGGTGGTTGGGGCGATCTTAGGCCATGTTGGACATGCACGCCCCCAACAACGCGCTCTTGTCTCTGGAAAAGTCACGCGGAGATCTCCTGGAACGCACAAGAGCGGTGGCGGATCTTGCGCATGGAAAGCGGGTGGTGCTCGCGTCTTCTCGCCGTGCGCATTCTTTTCTGCATATTTTGCAACAGTTTCACGGATGGCGGGCGGGTGGGTTTCAAAATGTGCGTTTTGCCACTGTTTCGTGTGAATTTGTTTTACAAGTCGCAGGCGTGCAACGATTGCGCATGGAGGTAGGTTTATTTTCAAAGCGAGGTTGTCGCTATTGGCCCCGCGCACATTCGCCTCGCACTTCCCAACAGCATCACGGGTAGAGGGCGGCTCTTTTTCAAGCCCTTTCAAGCCTTCGCGGGTTTTGCGACCATCGTTCCAACGTCGCTTTTGTAAACGGGTGGAGGGCGACTCCTTTCCGATGCGGAGCTCTCGCTCTGATGCTCCTTTGAGCTTTACACGACCAAGCTTTCATAATTGTTTAGCGGCAACGTTGGTGTAGGATGTGTTGTTGTTGTTGCTGTTTTTGTTGTGGTTGTTATTGTTGTTGTGTTTGTTTTGCTTTGTTCCATCATGTGGTGTTGGGTTCTCGTTTTGAAGAGACAGCGCCCCGCGCCCCCCCTCCCGTTGCCCCCTCTCTTCTCCTCTTATCATCATTATCACCATCATCATCGTCCTTCTCTTCCTCATCATCGCCGTCGTCATCGCAACCGTAACCCATCATTATCATCATCATCACCATCATCATCATCATCATCATCATCATCATCACCATCATCACCATGATCACCACCATCATCTTCATCATATTCTCCGTCATCACCATCATCATCACCACCGTCCTCATCACCACCATCATACGCATCATCACCATCATCAGTATCATCATCATCGTCATCATCATCATCACCACCATCACCATCAACATCATCATCATCACAAGCGGCACCGACCCGTCCCCTGAGACGAATTCTACGAACTGGATGGTCTTTTGATCGCTCCAGGGCCCAGGAACGGCCCCCAAGGCCCGAAATGGCGGAAAGGCGCCGGGATTGAACGAATCGCGTCGTTGAAGCCTGGGCTTCAAGAGGCCTCCCGAGGTCAGTGGGAATCTTTCGGGGCCGACCGAGGCCCAGCGACTGCCCAACGCACGAAAAACACACCGAAACCCACGACACGGATGCAGCCACGCAGTGCTGTAACAAGGATCGCTGTAACAAGGATCGAGGTCAGGGTGCCCGGGCGGGAGAGGAGGGCGGGGCACAGAGCTGGAGGAAGGGTGGGAGGGAGGAAGGGAGGGATTGAGAAAGAGACAGGGAGAGAGAGAGAGAGAGAGAGAGAGAGATCAGCAAGGCCCTCCCTCCCTCCACGTCCCACCCACTATCGGGCCGGACGAAGAGGGAGGATAGGGAAAGGGGGGGTTGCGAAAGTTGCTGCATGTAGTTTTTTTCGGCCCGCCTCCGGCGCCTGGGGGCGCCGGGGAAATCAGCTACGCGAGCTGATTCTCAAACCCCCCCTTTGCTATCCCCCCCCTTTCGCCCAGCCCGACCCTCCCCCACTTACCCCCGCTTTCCCTGTCCCTCCCCCCCTTCCCCATTCCCCTCCTGCCCCTCCCCTCAATTCCTTGCGCGGGGTCGGTCGCCCCAGCGGGTCCGACCAAACCGCATGCGTGCCCCAGAGCACCCCGCGGGACCATTTTGAGTGATTAGTTTTTTGGCCGCCTTCCGGCAACAGGCAGCCTAAGCGGTCGCCGCGGATGTTGCCATAAACCTCCCCCGAAACATCCGAAACAAAATCTTTTCTGAAGGTTCCAGGAGGCCGCCCGGGGAACGGCGGGCAGAGCCCATGCGTGGAGGCAGGGAGGCAAGGTGTTCCACCCCCTCCCCTCCGTTCTTCCCCCCTCTCCCCCCCTCCCTCGCCCCCTCTTTCTCCTCGCGGCCTCCTCCCTCATGATCTTCTCCTTGCGCCTCCTCCTCCTCATCTTCACCCCTCGTCCGCCGCGTCCTCCTATCCTGGTGCCATTTCTCGTCTTCCCCCTCCTCCTCCCCCTCCTCCTCCGCCCCCTCCATTTTCCTCCTCCTTTTCCTCCTCCTCCTCCTCTTCCTCCTCCTCCTCCTCCCCCTCCTCCTCCTTTTCCCCTCCTACTCCCCCACGCCCCCGCTGCGCCCATTGCCCGTTGGCTCAACTACTTATTTGAACTTGGCTCAACTACTTATTTGAATACGTCGTTGGCAACTACTTATTTCTTAAGAAATGAGTAGTCTTGAAAACGCGCAGCAGGGTCATGCCGAGCGAGCACAAGCGCAAATCGTGCAGCGAGTGAGCTGCCGTATTCGAATTACTGGATGAATTGCTTCCTCGTTGCCCACTGTCCACTTGTCCCCCCCGTCCTCGTCATGGTCGCCGTCTTCGCCCTCCCCCTCCAGCCCTGGCTCCTCCGCTGCCTCATCCTTCTGCCCCTTCGCCCCCTCCTCCTTCTCCTGTTCCGTTCAGACGGGCTCGCCTGGCGCCCGAGCGCGCGGGGCACCGCGGTGGCGCCGCGCGTGGCGACCGCAGTGGGCTGGAGCCGCGGGCAAAACAAAATCCTCCTGTTCCTCCTCGTCCCCCAGTAAAAGGTTGCCGCCCAGGTTGCAGCTCCGAGGCCGACAGAGATCTCTGCTGGAGACATCCGCCTTCCGCCAGATCGTCGTCGAGTCCCAATCGGGGCCACTTTAATCGGGCGGCGGATAAACTGGCATCCAACGCTGCGCCTTCTCGTCGTCCTTTCCCGCCCTCTTCAAACAAGCTCTGGCGGGGTGGACCTCCCACCCCGCCCTGGTGTAAGGGGCAACCCGCGCGAGCAGCAGCTGTACCAGATGGCTGCTGCACGACGGCGACGGCCAGCGCCCAGCGGAAACCGCGGAGCGCCCGACGGGGTATCCCGTGACACGCCCCAAGTGGCGATTCGAAACGGTGCGGCGGTGCGAGCGGCGTCCAGCAGGAGCGCATGCTGCCACGCAACAGCTGTCATCCCACTTACTAGAGGGGCTGGTGTTCTCAAACTGTCTACGCGCTGAGTTTTTGGTCGAGACCGCCCGCGTAGTTTCATCGTGTGATTTTTCTCCGCGCAAGGTACTGCGCGGCGAGGCAGCAGCTCCCGTGCGAGCGGGCCCCCCGCACCTGCGCGAGCGATTATCGCATGTAAATTTTATTGCACGCCGACAAGGTCCGCGCGCGCGGAGTTTTGTGCACGCGCGCCCTCTGGCGCGCTTGGCGCCCCGAAGGGTGCCTCGCTGCGGCCTTTTGGGCCTCTCGGGCGGCCGCGGGAACGCGGGCCCACGCTGCGGCCTTTGGGCCTCTGGGGCGGCCGCGGGAATCTGGACAGGCACACTTGCGCGCAGATTTTCGCACGCAACTTTTTCTTGCGCGCCCAGAGTGGCGAACTGGAGCTTCCGCGCGCGCGCCCATTAGCGCAGACGGCGCCCCGAGGGCGAGACGCCGCGGCCTTTGGGGCCTTTGGGGCGGCAGCGGGAATGTTCGTCAGAGGGTCGCAGGGGGCTGCGCGGCACCGCCACGCGGGGGGCCCTGCGGCCCTCCCCCCCGGATATCCTGGAACCCATGTTGGGGTGCGCGCCGCGGGCGGCCTTCCTCCTCCTCCTCCTCCTCCTCCTCCTCCTTCTCCCCCTCCTCCTCCTCCTCCTTCTCCTCCCCCTCCCCCCTGGCCCCTTCCAGTCGGTGGAGGAGCCCCCTGCGCCGCAGCGCCCGCCGCGCGCGGGGCTTAGCCCGCGCCCCGTGCAACTACGGCTTGCGCTGCTTCAGCGCACGGATCCAAGTCGCCGTCTGGGCCAGGCTCACTGGGTACCCTGCCTTCGTCTTGATCCCGGCGTTCAGCAGGGCGCGCCTCGCCTTCGTGAGATCACCTGCCACGAGGTCTCCCTTGCGCACCCACGTCGCCAGGGCCCTCTTAATGCGAGGCCCCTCTGCGAGCTCCAGACGGTTTTTCTTCCCCGTAATCTTCGGCTTGTTCGACAACGTCTTCTTCGTCGTAACCTTTAGCTTCTGCACCCGGGCGCTCTTGAGCCGCTGGACGATCTGGCAGCGCTCGAACTCGGCGATCGCGCCGAGTATCTGCCGGATAAGAATGTTGCTGGGGGTGTCGTCGAGGAACTGCGACGGGTTCGTGCAGTTGACGAGGTTGAATCCTCCAGGTGGCGGGGGTGGGAACGGGGGCACAATGTTCAGTCTTTTGCCTGGATATTCATAATCCCTGCAATGTGTTCCAATGGTGTCTCATGCTCAGCAGGCTCCGCCGATGTCATGGGGAGGAAGGGGAATACCGTTAGGCTAGCAATGGGAAAACCCTGAAGGAAGGAGGCCGGCCCGCCGGCCGACGCTCGCGCGCGGCCGCAGGCTCGCTCCTTTTCTGTTTCCCTCGAGCCAAACAGCTGTAAGGAACAAATCAGTCAAGCAGTGCAAAAGGAAGAGAGCAGGAAGGGCAGCAGGATGATGGCGCGGAAGAAGTGCGTTGACTTGTCGCCCTCTTCTGATTCCCCTCCGTCGCGTCGGTGTGCCCTGCGCTCGCGATGTTCCTCCGCGCTCTCTTCGCCGCGCCCAGTGGGAACGAGGAAAAGGCGACGCCAACGCCAGCAGGGCGAGGAGGTGCGATGGGGGCAAGGGGAGTCTCCCTGGCGGTGTGGACCCCCTCTCGCTCGAGACACCCCCAGCATCCAGCTCGGGGATGCATCGCTGACCTCCTCGCTGGAAGTGGGCCCCCCTGGTGGTGTTGGCATCGTTTCTCCTCCCTCCGATCCCAGTGCCCCGTGCCCAACCCAGTCGACTACTCGACCCGGTCTCCTGCATCAGTCAACCACTGGACCCCCAGCTCCTGGACAATGACGTCCCGCGCCAGGCGGGTATTGTCCTCGAACAGAATGGTTGAGATACCCGCCACTGTGCCCCCTGGCACGTTGAGACGTGTTGGAAAGCCAGGTGCTGTCTGGCACGGTTTCTGTAATCTTCTAAGGGAGCCCCCCCTCTCCGGCCGCGCCCTGTGCATGCGCCGCCCTGTCTTGTCGAGGCTCTGCCGGCGTCCAGTCACACACGCACGAGGGCGTCCAAGACGCCTAAAATGCCTTCCACGACGCGCCTGGGAGGCCACCGAAGCCGCCAAGATGGCCCTTGGGCGCTCCCACGAGTGGCCTCCAACGATATCCCAACGAGCATCCAAGAGGCTTCCGGTGCCCTCTCGAACAATCGCTACCGAGCATGCTGGAGTGGCACGGTGGCGGGACTTGCCGCAGGCATCCTGCTTGTTCTTGTAGCAATGATCAATCATTCTGTTGAAGGTCGGCCTGGTCTGCAAGTCCTGCCAGTGAATGCAGAAACTCATTGAGGGGCCGACCGGGGGAGCCAAATAGTCACCGGGTAGACTGTTGGCTGCCTTGGCCAGCTGCCCGGCTGGATGTCCGAGTGGCTTGGCCGACCCGTCGGTCCTCGGTGCCCGAAATGCATTCGTGGAATATGTCACATGCCTTCGCCACTAACTTGTTGGGGCGAGCGTAGTTCTGGCAGCAACGCACCTGTCTGCTCTCGGAGTCCTTCGAATCGCCTTGCTGTGATTTTTGTTAACGGCCTCCCCTTCCCCCGCCTTCTCTTGCCCATGCCCGCCGCCCTTCCCTCCTACCCCCCTCCTGTTTGCCCTTCCCTCTCCCATGCATGTTGAGGACATTGGCGCCTGCATTTGCCTGCGAACTCGTCCGCGTGTAGATGCAGACGCGAGTCAACTTGCTCGGTGTCGGGGCCATGGTGGGACAAGCGCTAGCGCGAGGGTGCTCGACGCTGGTGCCGGGGGGCCTGAGCCTCGAGGCACATGCTCGTCGTAGTCGTCGTCGTTGGCGTCCTCCTCCTCCTCCTCCTCCTCCTCCTCCTTCCTCCTCCGCCTCTCCTCTTCCTCCTCCTGCCCCCTCCTATCCTCCTCCTCCTTCCTCCCTCCTCCTCTTCCTCCTCCTCCCCTCCCCCTCCTTCTCCTACCTCCTCCTCCCCCTCCCTCCTCCTTTTCCTTTCCCTCCTCCTCCTCCTCCTCCTCCTCCTCCTCCTCCTCCTCCTCTTCCTCCTCCTCCTCCTCGCCCCCTCCTCACTCGTCCCAGGGTTGACTTCGCCGTCGCCGTCGCTCTCGACTTCGGCATCGACGATGACGGCGGCGGCGGCGGCGGCGGCGGCGGCGACGACGACGACGACGACGACGACGACGACGACAGCGGCGTCGATGGCGGCAGCGACGGCGGCGACGGCGGCGGCAACGGTGACAACCACGACGATGACGACGACTACGACGATGACGACGTCGACTGCGGCGACTGCGGCGACGGCGGCAGCGACGGCGGCGACGACGACGACGGCGGCGGCAGGCCCTTGAGAGCCTCCAGGAAGCCCCAAGGGACGTCCCAAGGGGCCCCAAGAATGCCCCAACAGGCCTCCTCCTCCTCCTCCTCCTCCTCCTCCTCCTCCTCCTCCTCCTCCTACTCCTCCTCGTCCTCCTCCTCCCTTTCCTGATCCTCCCCCTCATCCTCCCCCGCGTTTCCCCCGGAGGTTTTCCACAACAACTCGGGGAACACATAGTCCGATAGTTTGGGCAAATTGCGGGCCAACCTTCGGCCACATAGGCGCTTCAAAGCAGAAGACAGGGGGTGGTGTTGATTCGCCGTTGCTGCTTTCGATCCGCAGCCTCCTGTACTGTACCTGTCACAGGGGTGCAGTGCGTGTTAGGTTTTTGCACATTACTATCCTTTGTCAATTCTTCCAGTGGGGGTTCGGCTGATCGCACCGGCAACCAGGAAAGCTCAGGGCGGGCCAGGAAATTTCGCATCCCATCGGTCTTCCCCACCCGAAAAGACCCATGAACTTCCCAGGTCGCCGGTCGACCCGCTCAAGACGCAGATGGCCTCAGGATGTCTCCGGGGCGGCCCGGGATGCCTCCAAGAAGCCTCCAACTCTCCCACGAGGCTTCCGAGAGAACCATTAGGAAAACCCAAAGAGACCTCTGATTCCTCTTCTTCACTCTCCCACGCATGTTCCCCGAAAGGTTTCCAGGACGGCTCGGGGAACACATGGTCCGATACAGTGAAAACGTGGAGGAAGGACGGGTGGTGAGGACGCAAGACCCTTGGAGACCGAAGTTGTTTTTTGTCGGCAGGCGCAGTGAAAACGGGACAGGACGGACCGCAGAGGCAAGGACACACGGGTACCACAGAAAACGGGGGCGACGGTGATTCGCCACAGGCGTCTTCGATCCGCCGCCCCGTGTGCTTGCCACAGGGGTGGCACGGCGTGCCCAGTTGCGTTGCCTATACGGCTTGGCCCCCACATCCTGAATAGGGTTCTGGTTTTCCCAAAACACCTTCTCCTTCCAACCTTTCCACCTCCCGCTCCCTCATCCATACCATCCGTACAATACCATACCATACCATGCCTACCATATCGTGGTTAGTACCATACCTTCCATACCATACCACGCCATAGCTGCCATACACGACCATACCTACAATACCATACCCACACCTGCCATACAATGCCATACCATACGTACCATGCCAGACCTACCATCGCTACCACACCATACCTTCCATACCATACCACACCATAGCTACCATAACATACCAAAACTACAATACCATACCACACCTGCCATACAATACCATACCATACGTACCATGCCAGACCTACCATCGCTACCACACCATACCTTCCATACCATACCACACCATAGCTACCATAACATACCAAAACTACAATACCATACCACACCTGCCATACCACCCTCCCCAACCCTCCATGGAGGCTACACCTGCCATACCACCCACCCCTCCAGGGAGGCCCCGCCTGAGCGAGCAGGGCATGCGGATACCATACTATTTATCAAGTTTCGTGCCCCTCCCCACCCCTCCTGGGAGGCCCCGCCTGAGCGAACAGGGCGTGCAGATACCATACTATTTATCAAGTTGCGTGCCCCTCCCACCCCTTCTGGGAGGCCCCGCCTGAGCAACGAGGACATGCGGATACAATGCTAATTATCAGGTTTCGTGCCCCTTCCCACCCCTCCAGGGAGGCACCGCCTGAGCGAGACCGGTATGTGGATACAAAACTATGTATCAAGTTTCGTGCCCCTTCCACCCCTCCACGGAGGCACCGCCTTGGCGAGGAGGGCATGCGGTTACCATACTATTATTCAGGTTTCGTGCCCCTTCCCACCCCTCCAGGGAGGCCCGGCCTGAGCGAGCAGGGCATGCGGATACCATACTATTTAGCAAGTTTCGTGCCCCTCCCCACCCCTCCTGGGAGGCCCCGCCTGAGCGAGCAGGGAAATTATGGGGATTCCATACTATTTATAAAGTTTCGTGCCCCTCCCACCACTCCAGGGAGGCCCCGCATGAGCGAGGAGGGTATGCGCATACCATATGATTTATCAGGCTTCGTGCCCTCCCCACCCCTCCAGGGAGGCACCGCCTGAGCGAGGAGGGCATGCGGATACCATTTTGTTTATCAGGTGTCGTGCCCCTCCCACCCCTCCAGGGAGGCCCCGCCTGAGCGAGGAGGGCATGCGGAGACCATACTATTTATCAGGTGTCGTGCCCCTCCCACCCCTCCAGGGAGGCCCCGCCTGAGCGAGGAGGGCATGCGGATACAATGTTAATTATCAGGTTTCGTGCCCCTCCCACCCCTCCATGGAGGCCCCGCCTGAGCGAGGAAGGCATGCGGATACCATACCACGTATCAAGTTTTGTGCCCCTCCTACCTCTCCAGGGAGGCCCCGCCTGAGCGAGGAGGGCATGCGGATACCATACTACGTATCAAGTTTTGTGTCCCTCCCACCCCTCCAGGGAGGCCTGGCCTGAGCGAGCAGGGCATGCGGATGCCATATTATTTCTCCCTCCGCCGTTTTGCCGACGGCCGCATTGCAAAATCTTTCGGTTTCGCGACAGCGCGGCGCTCTCTAGTCACGGTGGTCGTTCATACTGTCGCTGTACCGGCCTATCCTCGATTTGAGGCCTGGTCTTCTGCGGTTCTCTCCATTTTGTTCCCCTTCTCCTCCTTCTCTTCCTCCTCCTCCTCATCCTCATCCTCCTCCTCCTTCTCCTCCTCCTCCTCCTCCTCCTCCTCCTCCTCCCCCCCCCCGCACTTAGTGCGACGCGCTGGCGTCCACCCGACAATGGTGCCAGCAGGCGTTGATTTGTTAGCCAGCTGTGCATTCTATCTTTGTATTATCCTTGTCTCTCTGCGCCCTCCTCCCCGCTCTTCTTCTTCCTCCTCTTCCTCCTCCTCTCCCCTCCCGCGCTTGGTGCGACACGCCGGCGTCCACCCGGCAATGCCTCTGTCCACCTAGCTGATTTGGCGTTGACCCTATACGGTAATCCAAAGGTACCGTCCGAGGCCCTGGGAACCCGCGGGCCACTGGAGATCTCAAATAGGCAAAAACAAATATCAGGTTTCGCGCCCCTCCCAAGCGTCCAGGGAGGCCCCGCCTGAGCGAGGAGAGTATGCGGATACATACTATTTATCATGTTTCGTGCCCCTCCCACCCCTCCAGAGAGGCCCCGCCTGAGCGAGGAGAGCATGCGGATACAATGTTAATTATCAGGTTTCGTGCCCCTCCCACCCCTCCAGGGAGGCCCCGCCTGAGATTCTCGTTCACCCTGCGTCCGTCCCCGACGGCCCCGAGGACCCGAAGACGGCCCGCGGGGGCCGTACTCGAGGGAAGACCTGACAAACAGGGGAAAACAAAACAGATCGGAACAGGCCAGGTTGAGACACCGACAATTCGGAATCCGTTCGAAACCAGTCCCCAGACCCCTCCCGGGGTCCAAACGCACCAGTTTTCCGAGCTGCGTCCAGCCGTGGCGACGAGGGGCCCCCCCGAACGCCTAATTGTCGGTGTCTCAACTCGCCCTCCGGTTACAAGGCGAAGACGACGTCACCGGCGACGACGTCGGGCGGTCAGAGCGGGGCGGGCTGCCTCTGGAGGCGGCGGGGCCGGCGCCAGCGCCGGCGGCGCCGTGTGCTGCCGGCGGGCTGCCTCTGGAGCCGTTCCGAGCGAGGCGTCGCGGCCCGCCGTCGTCGCCGCTGCTATCGGGGGAAGGGGGGGCGATGCCACCACGGGGGGCCACCTCCAGCGAGGAGGTCCACGATGTCCCCCCGAGCAAGGGATAGTTAATGTCTCGAAGGGGAGGTGGGGACCACGCCACCAGAGGTGCTCCGAGGTCCTCGGAACCCCTCAAAAAAGCTTACGAAGGAGGATGATTTTCGTCGACCCTCGTCGAGGCTTCGCCGGGGTCCTCGCCGAGGCCTTCGCCGAAGTTTTTCGCCGCTTTCGGCCTCCAGGGGCCGCTCTCAGGCCTCGGGGCCCTCAGAAACGGGTCCAGGGTGAAGAAACGGCCCTTGGGAAAAACACATGTTTCTTGATATTGTTTGTCGTCGTCGACGTCGCCGTGGTCAGCGTCGTAGTCGTCGACGTCGACATCGTGGTGGCGGTGGTCGTCGTCGTCAGGAGAGGACCGAGGATCGGGTAACATCTTTGCTCGAAGCACCTGGCAACAGAGGCATCTCAGAGTTTCTCCTTCTCCTCCTCCTCTTCTTCCTCCTCCTCCCCCCCCTTAGTTATCCCCCATCATCCTTCCCGTCCTCCTCCTCCACCTCTCCCTTTTCCAACTCGTTGTCCTCCTCCTCCTCCTCCCTCCTCCTCCTCCTCCTCCTCCTCCTCCTCCTCCTGTCCTTCCCCTCCCACTCCTGCAATCTCGAAAACCCACCGGAAACTTGACTGCAAGTACCTTCCACTTTCTCCTCCTCCTCCTCCTCCTCCTCCTCCTCCTCCTCCTCCTCCTCCTCCTCCTCCTCCTCCCCCATTCCACCTCCTCTTCCTCCTCCTCCTCCTCCTGTCCCTCTTCTCCTTCTCCTCCTCCACTCTCGAAAAGCCAACCGGAAACTTTGCTGCGCGTGCCTTCCCCCTCCTCTTCCTCCTCTCAGCCTCTCCTGTTCCTCCTCATCGTCCTCCTCCTCCTCATCCTCTGTCCTTCTGCGTCTCCTCCTCCAATATCCCAAACCCAACCGTAAACCTTACTGCGCGTGCCTTCCCCCTCCTCCTCCTCTTCCTCCTCCTCCTCCTCCTCCTCCTCCTCCTCCTCCTCATCCGCCTGTCCACCCCTCTTCCTGCTCCTCCTGACCTTTTCCTCCTTCTCCTTCTCCAGAGGCCTCCAAGAAGCCCCAAGAGGACCCCAAGAGGCCCCGCCCCCAAGCAGCTCCCAAGAGGCGTCAAAACTGCCTCCAACAGGCCCTCCTTCCTCCTCCTCCTCCTCCTCCTCCTCCTCCTCCTCCTCGTCTCCTCCTCTCCTCCTCCTCGTCCTCCTCCTCCTCCTCCTCCACCACCTCCTCCTCCTCCTCCTCCCCCCTGACCCTCATATTCCTCCCCTGCCCCCCTTCCCACGCGTCCTGATCCTTCTCCTCCTTCGATCCCCCCCTCCCCCCCCTCCCTCCTCCTCCTCCTCCTCCTCTCTCCTCCTCCTCCTCCTCTCTTTGTCGTTGTCCTCATTACCGCCGCGATAAGCATCATCGTTAACATCGCCATCGTCATCATCATTTCTTCATCATCATCATCACAGCATCATCATCATCGTCATCATCATCATCATCATCATCACCACCACCATCCTCTTCACCATCCTCGTCCTCGTCTTCATCGCCATCAACACATTATTCCCCCCCGCCCCCTCCACCCCGCCCCCCTGCCCCACCTGCGAGCGGAGAGGTTGGGCATGTTCCCAGGCTGAGAAAACTTCGGTCGTCGTCCTCCTTCCTCCTCCCTTTCCTTTCAGCGGAGGCGGCGCTGAGACACCGACAGTTGGCCTTCGGGGGGCCCCCGTCGTCGCCACGGCTGGACGCAGCTCGCAAATGGTGCGTTTTGACCCCGGGAGGGGTCTGGGGACCGATCTTGAGCCGATTTCGAATTGTCGGCGTTTCAACCTGGCCTGCTCCGATCTTCCTCATTGGTCCTCCCCGAATGTCCTGTTGGCGGTGCTACCCGAGCGGGTTTGCTGGTCCATAGTTTCACCCGGCTCCGAACCTCTGCTAGAAGGAGGAGCAGGAGCAGGAGGAGTAGGACGTCGGAAGAGTAGGACGGAAAGGGGAAGGCGGAACTGAGGAGGGGGAGGGGCGGGGGAGGGGAAGGATAAGGAGGAGAACGAGGAGGGCGAGAAGGAGGACAAGGCGGAGGAGGCGGAAGAGGAAGACGAAGGAAAACGCTTGCCCATACAAGCGATGCCGGCACCGTGCGCTAATCAGTGCGCCTGCGCGCGGCCCCGGGGGTGAGGGCGAGGCTGAGGATGGCGAGGTGGAGGGAGGAGGGAACGCAGGGAGGAGGAAAGCGAGGAGCACAAAGTGGATGGCGAGAGGGGGGATGCGGGGGATAACGAGGATAACGAAGACGATCGCGACGACGGCGAGGGCACTGCCGAGGCGGGGAAAGGGAAACGGGAGGGGAGATATGGGAGGGGCATGGCGGAATAGGAGGATGAGGCGGAGGAGGCTGAGGAGGAGGAGGAGGACAGCGAAGTGGAGGAGCAGGCCCCCTCACGAATCGGTTTTCGCCGCCACTGGGGCGCCGCCCCCTGGGCTCTCGGCGCCGACAGCCCCTTTCTTCGCGATGGCCGCCTGCAAGGCCTTTTTCCTCACGCCGACCATGAGCTTAACGTCATCGCTGTTGCGGCCCTGGCCAAGCATTTTTAAACGGTTCGATGGGCGAGCAGGGCGGTATCAGGAGCACGAGGAGGGGGAGGAAGAGAGGATGATGATGGCGATGACGATGCTGATGATGATGATGATGATGATGATGATGAGGAGGAGGAGGAGGAGGAGGAGGAGGAGGAGGAAAATGACGCAGGCGAGCAACAGCAGGAGGACGATGAGGAGCAGCAGCAGGATCAGCCGAAGCAGGAGCAGAAGGAGCAGGAGAGGGAGGGGCATGGAGCAGGGTAGAGAAGTGGGTGGATCATCTTCCTCCTTCACCTGCTACTATTATTATATCCCTTTTGCTTCGTTATCTTCGCCATTGTCGTCGTTGCCTCGTCTTCCTCTTCTTGGTTTTGCTGATGTTGCTCCTGCTGGTGCTGCTGGTGGTGCTGGGGTTCCTGCTGACGCTGGTGGTGCCCCTGGCGCATGTGCCGCAGCCTCTGTTGCAGCTGCTGATGCCGCTGCCGTTTCCGATGTTCCTCCGGAGCGATCTCGGCCCCAGGAGGTCCCCGGATGCCTCGACCCGCCTTCGATGCTGATGTTGCGCCGCGGGCTCGTATCCGATGGCCCCGGGGCTCGAAAACGGAAAGGCGGCATCTTCACCTCAATCCCCCTTTACGTTCCTCCCCCTCCTCCCACGCAGCGTCGGCAGCAGTGGCAGGCACCGTCAGCATCAGCAGCAGTTTGACATTCCACGGGCCCCCGCCCAACGGCGGACCGACGCCGGGCGACCGGCGCTGGCGACGGGGCGACGGGGGGGGGCCTTCTGGAGCTCGCGAATTGCATCCTCGCAGATGCTCTTGAGGTCGTCGGGGTTCGCGCCCTTCACGGAGACCTGCATCTTGATGAGGAGGGGGGGGCGAGGGGGAGGGGGTGGAGCAGGTTGCCAAAGGAACGGCGAAGGTCTGGCCGAATCGCACGATGCGCAGGGCCAGGGGGCAGGGGCTCGACGCTCGATGGCCCCGCCGCGGGGCCGGGGCCAGGGGGCAGGGGGCTCGAGGTCGAGTTCAAACGACGTCTGGACCGGTGCCAAGGAGGTGAAGAGGATGAGGGAGGAGAGCCCCCTCATCCTCCTCGCCCCTTCTCCTCCCTCCTCCCTCGTCCTCGTCGCGCTGCTTCTCCTGCTGCCCCTCGTCCTCCTCGCCCACCTCGGCCCAATCGCCGCCGCGAGCGCAATCGCCATCGCCGGCGTCGCCGTCCTGAGCGACGTCTCTCAGAGCCCCTTGAGATTATTTCTTCAGCTTCACTTGGGGTGCTTTAGGGGCGCTGTTGGAGCCGTCTCGGGGCTTTCTTCGGCATCTGACTCTCTTGTTTTCCTGGGGGCCCGCGGGGCCGCCTGGGTGCTTCGGACGACCATCGAAAGCGAAAGCGCGAGAAGGCACAACGCATTGATGTTCCCTATGTTGTTGAAGGTGTTGCGGCTCTCTGGCGGCTTCCCTAGGAGGCCCCGCTGCCACTTGGAGCCGCCTCGGGGTGCCATGTTGGCCCATCTTGGACGCCACCTCTCGGGGTTATCTCGGGCCGTCTGGGCCCCCCAGAGCCTCGCGGCCCTCCCGCCCAGGCCCGTGGAGGGTGCGTGGGGGGAGGGGTGCTACTCTCTTTACCCGCCCCCTGGGCCCTCCTCCCTCCTCGCCCTTCTCCTCCTACTCCTCCCCCTCATCCTCCGCCGCTCTCTTGGCTTGAAGCTTTGGCTCGCGCTCGCTCGCAACCGTCATGTGCGTGTGTTTGTAATGCGATCTGGTTTGGGCGCGCCGCGGGGATCAGCGCCCCCCCCCCATTCCTCGCCCTCCCCTCTCTTCCCCCCTTCGCCCTCCCACTCAACGTGCTCCTCTTCCTCCCGGAGAGTGGATTTACTGTGATGTTTGCAAGTGTTTGCGCCCTGGGGCCTGGAAGAGCTGGCTCAGCTTCTTGCCCTCTCCGTCCTTGCCTTTTGGGCGCACCGCCATCGCGCCAGATGGGTACGTCATGATGCTGTAGTCTGACTTCGCGTCGGTGCCCAGCGTCTCCTGCTCGGGCGGCTTTGACTCGGCCTTGGGTTTGCCCTTGCCCTTCGGGGTCGTTCCCGCCTTGCTCTCTTCTGCCTTCCGCTTCGTGCCCCCCGGCGACGTCGCTGGCGGCGACTGCACGCGCGAAGCGGTCAGCGCGGGGACTTTCTGGCTGGGGCTGTTCTCTTGCGTTTTCTCCTCGTCGGTGCCGCCCGCGCCGCCCGCCCTCTGCCGCTTGCTGGCCGGGGTGCCCCCTTCTGCGTCCGTCGTGCCATCGACCGCCGCCCCCGCCGCTGCGGGCCTCTTGCGAGCTCCGCGGCCGCCCTCGCCGCCCCCGCGGCCCTGGCCCCTGCCTCTCGGCGCCCCTGCCGCCCCCTTGCTGTCGGCGCCCTTGTTCTCGCCGTTGGGCCGCGCGTTGTCGCCGCTGGGCTTCTCGGGGCTAGGGGCGCCGCCAGCGGCGCCGCTGGCGCGAGCTACCTGATGGAACGCAAGATGTATCACGTGCATACTGACTGGCAAACCGCAGGGGGGTAAATGGACGCGCATGGCTTGCGACTACAACGGGAGGGGCCAGGACGGGCGCCTGACATTAGCGGGGGGGCGTGGGCGCCACGTGAATTAGCCTGGCGATGGGCCCAACCATATGCAGGTGAGAATGCCGCAGTTGGAAATGCCGCCTTCCGTGGGGCTATGGGGCCACGAAATGCTTGCGTTATTTCTCGCTGCTGCGATGATTGCGCGGCCGCGTGACCCCCCCCCCTTTGCTGCTGCATTTTTTGCACAACAAAACGAAAACCTCACACTGCGAGATGGCTGGGTACAAATATTGCATTGTTGCTTCCCCCACCTTTGCTGGCACTTCGCCGTCCGAGTCGCTCAGGGTGTCCACGTTAGTCGGCATGGCTGCGCTGGGGGAGGCAAGGTCAAAACCTGGCCGGGGGCCCCCCTTAGCTAGAACCACTTGTGACTGCAGCAGCTGCGGGGCCCCAGGGCGACGCGCAGCCTGGGCTTACTGGGGGGTGGGTCAGGGGAGAGAAGGGATGGGGTGAGGGGCGTATCGACCTCTTACTCGGATGGCTCGGCAACGCGCCCCCCCCTTCGATGTCCTCGGTGCTCAGAGTCCGTGCAGGGAGTCGAGTGCGCGGCGTCTTGCATCGCCCTGCACGCGATGCAAGACGACGCTGGGGGTGGTCGAGATGAGCCGCATTCTCGAGCAGCACCGTCACTCGCGAGCGCAAGAGACGCGGATAGCATCCAAACTTCGGCCATCACGGGTCAAACTGCAACCATGAAGGGAGAGGGGGAAAGGGGGCATAAGGGTGGGGGCGGGGGAACAGGGGGGAGCGGGGGAGGGGATGGGGGGCTGGGAGGTCCGTCGTAGGCAAGCGCGAGGAGGAGCAGCCGCAGGGGCAACTTGCTGTCTAAGTCTTAGGGGGGGGGGGCCGGATCTGCCTCCGTGATATTTGCTCATCCTACTCGCGCTGCGGGGACGGGTGTGGCGGCACAGGAGGGGCTACGCAATGCGATGCGCGCCAGCGCACGGTGGGCGCGTCAGCATTGTGCCGGACAGGTAGCCCAAGACAGAAGGAGAGGGGGGGGCGAGATGAAAAATAATCAAACCATATGATATAAATGTGGCTGGCGCCCGCCAGATTCCCACATTGGCTCCGCGGGCGCCCTCGTGCAAGTTTGGATGGCAGGGGGCGGCGGTGGCGGTGCAGGGGTTGAGTGGAGAGGATAATGAGATAGAGGACCTTACCTGCGAGCCTATGGCAGCTGGCCTCCCAAGAGAGCAGGGCGGGCCAGGTGGGGAGTTTGCCGAACTCACCCTCAAACGTAGAACCTACCTAATGAGCAACGCTGAGGAATGTCATGCCAGCGCCAGCCTTAAGAGCTTCTGGCGCGCGCCCATGCGCGCCCCCCAAATGTTATATAACTGTGGCTTGCGGCCGCCAGATTCTCACATTGGCTCCGCGGGCGTCCTCGCGCAAGCTTGGATGGCAGGGGGCGGCGACGGCGGTGTAGGGGTTGAGCGGGGAGGAGAGTGCGTGGGGATAGAGGGCCTAACCTGCGAGCCTATGACAGCTGCCCCTGGGCCAGCAGAGATAGCCCGGCGCCAGTGGCTACTGCAACTTGACGAGCTGCTCGTCAGCTTTCAGCTGCGAGGCGGCTGCAAACCACAGCTTCGGCTTCAGGGGGCGCACGGTGGCTGGGGGGGTCTTGTCAATCTCGACCTCCCAAGCGAGCAGGGCGGGCCAGGTGGGGAGTTTGTCGAACTTACCCTTGAACGTAGAGCCAACCTCAGCAACGCTGAGGGATGTCATGTCAGCGTCGGCCTTGAGAGATTCTGGTACGTACCCGTGCGTGTCCCCCGAGAGCTCGAGTTTGTAGCGGAAGGGCATCGTCTTCTGCACTCCCTCCTGCGCGAGCTGCGGAGGAGGGGGGGGGGGGGGGGGCGGCGGAGGCGAGGGATGACGGCGAGGAGGAAGATTAGGACAGGCCATTCAGAGCTTGACGCGAGCACGAGTACGCAAGCCCCCTTTTCAACGACGAGTCGAAGTCGATCCGTTGGATGTACAGCGAGGAGAATGCCTGAGAGATCGATGGCGAGGTCGGTAGTGAAATCGATCGAGTGAAATCGATGGAGTAAAATCGATAGTGAGATAGATCCACTGAGATCGATAATGAGACTGATCGCGAGATCAATCGTGCGATCGGTCGGCGGAGGTGGCGGTAGTCTCTCGTCGGCGGCGGCGGCAGTAGGTCCATGGTTGGTGGTGGTAGCGATTGCCCCTGCTCGGCGACGGTGGCTGCAGTTTCTGGTCAGCGGCCCGGGGAGGTGGAGTGGGGGGACGAGGCAGATGAGGAACGGCAGCAGCATCAGTAGGAGCAGGAACAGGAGGAGAAGCGTTACATTCCCCCTTTTCTCCAGAGGGTGTCCTCCAGGATGGTCTTGGCTTCCACGGTATGGCACTCGACCTCGATCTGCGGGATCCCGTGGTCCTTGAACGCGCGGTAGATCAGGCCGGCCACTGTGATGAGCTCCTTGGACTTGTCGGGTTTGACGTGCACGACGTACTGCGTATCAGATGTCAGACGCCAGATTATGGCGTCCGGACTGCTCTCAAGAGCCTCCTTCGCGACGTTGATGTACACGCCCGTGTTGAAGCCCATGATCTCGCTGATCTCCAGCTCGTGCTTGGCATTGTTGGTATTGATGTAGATCGCGTACTCCCTGTCCACCCAGATGTTGTAGCCTTTCCGACTGGTTGCCCGCGCCAGCCAGTCCTGAGATGCCTCGGCCTCGGCCTTGGACATCCCCTTCTCGAGATCCACGTCCTCGCCGCATACGTTCGGCGGGTCCACGGAGAAGTCAGGGCCGTGACCCATCAGAGCAACAGCAGGCCGGGCACCTGCGGCGGCGGCCTTGGCAGAATGGTCCCCAAACTCCCTCTGGAATTCTTTGATGACAAGGCTGAGCTCCTTGTGCTGCGGGGTGCCATCAGGGAAACCGAATGCCCCAGACGCGGGGGCGCCGCGCTGGGAGGAGGGGGTGGGGGAGGGGGGGCAGCAGTGGCAGCGGGAACGGGGCGAGGAGGAGGAGGGCGAGGAGGGGGGCGACGAGGGAGAGGCCTGGTCGACGTGCCTCCCCCCCCCTGCCACCGATGCACCTCGCGCGCATATCCCCCGCCCTCCCTCCGTTCCTCTTCCTCCGACGAGGCCGCCGCAGACTCCGACCGCCGACCGGCGGGGCCACCGCGGCCGGAGCGGCGACGAGGCCGAGGGCGGGGGGGGGGTGGGGGCAGGAGAAGGACGGGGAGAAGGATGGAGAATACAGAGCAGCACGGTTGAGGAGGAAGGCGCAGGAGCGATGGCGAGGATGACGACGAGGCGAATGGGGGGAAAAGAAGGAGGGGCACCCAGGAGGAGGGGGGGGGAAAGGATGAGGAGGACGCCACGTTGCGGCGGGAATGCCGGAAAGCACCAGTATTTAGTTTTCAGCGCCTCGGGCAGGATGGGTTTGTCGTCGCACCATGCGCACACCTTCAGGGTGGGCACCTGCGGCAGCGCCGTGCTCTGCGCCCTCTCCTGCGGATGGGGATCGCAGCAGCATCCGAGGCTGCGTCGGCGGGAGGAGTGGCGGGCGGTGGATGGCGGGGCAGGGGGTCAGAGCTGCTGCGCCAGTGTTCGATCGAGCATGCAGAGCGGCATCTCCCTCCCGCCCACCCCCCTGGAAGATTCAGTGCCCTCTGTGTCCTTGGGCCCAGCCTCGGCACACGAATCCCACCATTCCTCCATGAGGAGTGCCTTCAGGGACCCGCGCGCCTCCTCCGCGCTCTCTGGAGTCTCGCAGACCGAAACGTAGTGGATATCAATGGATGGATCATACCGGCATTTCCACGCAGCACCCCCCCACTCATCAACAACCTGAGGGAGCGGGTTCGCGAGGACGATTTTGTCCCCGCTGTTGAGCGGCAGCGAGTGTATGAAGCCCTTGATGAGCATCTCTGCGCCGTGGAGACCTCTCTGGATGCAGCGATCAGCCATGCTAGGCGTCCTCTCTTTGGCCCCTGGCCCCTTTCCTGGATTAATCATGTCCTTGACTTTCATAAGCGGGATGTTCGCGTGCAGGCGGCCGCGCGCCATCGTGCACGCTGCCCATGGCGAAGTGTATACATCGCCAGAGTGCTGCTTCGACACGAGGAGCCTGGCCTGCTGGCTGAGCCGGCGCTTCTCGTTGCCGTGCTCATCCGCAATGTCGTATGTGATAGCAAATGGAAAGTCCATGGACATATTCATGGCCATCATCTTGTCTTCGAAGGTGCGCATGCGCTTGATGACAGTCTCCGCGGGCAATCCCTTGATTGGCATGGGGTACATAACGACGAAGCAACTATTCTCGTCCAGGTGGCAGATGTCGCAGCTCTTCTCCACGGCCGTGTCCAATGCACCAACATCACTAGGCCATTTGCTCAGGTCAAGGATGATAATTGTGAACCTTAGTTGGATATGCGATCGTGCCGGGTGCTCCTAGGTTAGCGCATCATCATCGTCTACATCACCGTAGCCATCATCGTCGTCAACATCCCTACCCCTTTCCACCTCCAAAACATGGCAATCCGATTCCTCCATTTCGTCCTCGTCGTCGCCGCCCCCTCCTCCACCCCCTCCTCTTCCTCTTCCCCCTCCTCCTCCACCTCCTCTTAATTCTCCTTTCTTAAAAGACGATAGACTCTACCCCCCCCTCCCCGGCGTTATCGCCACCCCTTTCGGGTATGTAAATCACATATGATTCTGACCACATGTCCATCCTAAATGTGAAATCAATGTCCCAGGCCAACCGGTACCCCCCTCCCCTGAGGTTCCTTCGTGACAAACGCTGCGCGGTGACATTTTCTGATAACACTTTGTTACGAATCCCTTGCAACAAATGGGACGAAGTACACTCGCGCGCGCGTCGTCGCGTGCGCGTGCCAGAATCCTTCAAAGATCCTCGGTGCCGGCAGGATTTCGCAATTTAGTTTCAAAAAAACATACAAAAAACAAGGTTTCGCAACACTGATTTGCTACAAGAACTTACGCGCGAGCTCTTGCGAAATCTTGGGAAAACCATTCGCTTTTCAATATGTTCACAGCATGCTACCAAACGGGCGTCGCGCGCGCATGTCGAAATCTGTCGAACGCCCTTGCGCGTGTGCCGTCGCGAGAACCCTCTACAAAAAACAGCATGAAGTGCAGGCGCGCGCGTCGTCGCGCGCGTGCGCCGAATCCTTCAAAACCCATCGGTTTCGGAAGGATGCCAAAATCGCGCGCCCAAAAAAAAAAACACAAAAACACAATGACTTGCAACGCGGATGTTCAACAAAAGCGTGCGCGCGCGCTCTTGCGGCGTCGTCGTCGTCGTCGTCGTCGCCGTCCTCCCTCCTCCCGTGTCGTCGTTGTCGTCGTCGTCGCCTACGTCGTCCTGTGTCTTTCCTCCTGTTCGTCGTCGTCGGCCTCTTTGGTGTCGTGGTCGTTTCCGTCGTCGTTGTCGCCGTGGTCGTCTTTCCTCCTCCTCCCTCGTCGTCGTCGTCCGTCGTCGGCGTCTCGTCGTCGCCCCTCCTATTTCGTCGCCGTCATCGTCGTCGTTGTCGTCGTCGTCTCGTTGTCGTCTTCCCTCCTCCCTCGTCGTTGTCGTCGTCGGCGTCGCCGTCCTTCCTCCTTCTCCGTCGTTCGCGTCGTCGCCGTCCTCCCTCCTCCCTCGTCGTCGTCGTTGTCGTCGTTGTCGCCGTCGTCGTCCTCCCTCGCCCCTCGTCGTCGTCTTCGTTGGCGACGTCGTCGTCGTCTTCGTCGTCGTCGTCGGCGTCGTCGTGCTCGTCGTCGTCGACGTCGTCGTCGTCGTCGTCGCCGCCGTCGTCGTCGCCGTCGTCGTCGTCGTCGGCCGCCTTGCTTCTCCGGCCTTCTTGGGGCGCTCGTGAGACGCCCCCGAGGGCCCCAAGACGACCCCGGAGCGATGCCTGCGCTCGGTCCCGCAAGGATTTTGCAAACCAAGTTGCGGGTGGGTGGGGCAGTGGAGTTGACAACTTCAAGTTCGGCAAGTGAATCATCCTCATACTCGCCCCCGTGCTTCGACCAGGCAACGGCGCCAGATGCTGAGCGATTCCGATTTGCGGCATCCCCCGAATCCTCGCCCCTCCCTGCCCCCTCATTTCCCCCCATACTGCTTCTCATCTTTCCCTGGACGTCCCCCCTCTTCCCTTTCTCTTTCCTCCTCCTCCTACTCTCCTCCCTTCTTCTGTCCAGCGCAGCCCTGGCGTGGGAACTAAGTTCATCGCGTGTTGGTGGAAGTGGTGCACGCCCTCATCCGGGCAGCGGTGGCTGCCATGGTGCTCAGGGCCTGCGGGAACTCCGAGGGCCCCCCGCTGCAGACCAGCAGCAGCTCATTCATTTTCTCAATCACCTTCTCCTGGCCTGCATTATAGCGCTTGGATTTGTATTCGTGAGCCTCTGACTCGATGCGGCGCCGCGCCTGCGTGATCGAAGTCTGGAACTCGCGGATCACCTGAGCGTCTGTAGAGAGATGGTGCAGCGTCTCCTCCAGCGAAGCCTGAGCGACGCGCTGGGCCAGCTCAGAGTCTTTCTGGGCCCGAATTGTCTCGATTTCCTTCTGGGCCCTGGCAAGGATCAGCCTGTAGCACGAAATGTGGCTCAGGTCGAACGGATGCACTCCCTTCCCCAAGATCTCTTCGATGTCATGGTCCATGAGTTTCTTGGAGAATCCCACCAGCCCTCTGGGCCCAGGCGGCGCAGGGAGCTCGTTCTTATAACTTCCAAGAGCCCCTCCCCCTACCCTCTCACCTGGACTTCGCCGCCCCCGCCCTCCTGCAATCCACGCACACGGGGTGGGGGCAGAGACTCCGCGTAGACCTTGCAATGCCTTGCAAAACGACCCTGCGCTACGCTGCAAACCAGATCCCCGCACTGATGGCCCTGCGAAACGACCCCGGGCAGGGCCCGAAAGGGCCCCCAGAACTGGCCGCGCAACCTAATCTAAGTCCAAAGACGAAGCGCACAATGTAATCAAGCGCTTCATCATGCGATTTCGTGGACTAGGTCGCGCGGCAGGCTGCGTGCTTGCAGCAGCAGACATTCCAGTCGTCAGTCGCTTCTCTATTGCAACGCCTATTGCTGCTTGGGCGCATTCATCTCCGGACAAAGCACGCCCCGGCACATGCATGCGTTTGCTGGGGAGCTAAATCTGAGGGAGCAAGCCCAGGTACACGCGCGCGCTGGGGGGCAATACTTGACGAAGCAAGCCCCGGTGCATGCGCACGCGCTGCATCTCTGCCGGTGAGCAGGCGCTGCAGTAGGGGGGGCGACTGACGACTGCAATGTCTTTTGCTGCAAACGCGCAGCCTGCCGCGCGACTTTACCCGCAAATTCCTCGCATCAAGATTTAAGTGAGCACGTTCGTTTTACTGTTGTTTTACGTGTTGTTTGTTACGTGTTGTTTTTGCGTTGTGTTTGTTTGTTGGGGCGCGTTGGTTTTGCGTGTTGTTGTTGCGTGTTGTGTTCGCGTGTTGTTTTTGCGCGTTGTTTTTGCGTGGTGTTTTTTTTTCTTGCGTGGTGTATTTGCGTCTTGTGTTTACGTATTGTTTCTACATGTTGTGTTACGTGTTGTTGTTACGTGTTGTTATGACGTTTTGAGTTTACGTGTTGTTATTGCGTGTTATTTTTATGTGTTGTTGTTACGTGTTGGTTTTGCGTGTCTTCCGTTTTTTTTGTTTGTTTGAACGTCTTGTTTTACGTGTCAGTTGTACGTGTTGTTGTTACATGTTGTTTTGACGCGTTGGTTTTTACGTATTGTTTTAGGCGTTGTACTTACGTGTTGCACGTGCTGTTTTACATGTTGTGCTTGCGTGTTGTTTTGTTGTGCGCGTTTTGTTGTTTGTTTTGTGTGTGTGTTGTTTTTACGCGCTGTTTTTACGTGTTATGTTTGCGTGGTGTTTTACGTGGTGTTGTTACGTGGTGTGTTTGCGTCATGTTTTACGTGTTGGTTGTACGTGTTGTTGTTACGTGTTGTTTTTGTTGCGTGATGTCTTTACGTTTTTTTTGTTTTTGTTGTTCGTGTTGTCGCGTGGTGTTGTTATTACGTGTTGGTTGTGCGTGTTGTTTTGCGTGGTGTTGTTACGTGTTGTTGTTACGTTTTGTTGTTACGTGTTGTTGTTACGTGTTGTTTTGACGTGCTGTTTCTACGTGTTGTTTTAGGTGTTGTTTTTACGTGTTGTTTGTCACGCATTGCTTTAGGCTTGGTTTAACGCGTTGTCTGTGCGTTTTGCGTTTACGCGTTGTTTTTGCGTTTTTGATTCGCGGGTTTTTTTCCCTTTCGCGCAAGCAGAGCCTGCGTCGATTACGTGCAAGAGCCAGCCGAACGACCAGCAAATGCAGCTACTGGCGCCCCCGGCTCGCCAGCCGAACGATGTTTTCGCGATGTTTTAACGTTTTCCTTTGAACGTGTTGTGCTTTGTTGTTTTTGCGTTCGTTGCGCGCTGTGTTTGCGCGTTGGTTTTTCGTGTTGTTGCGTGTTGTCTTTGCGCGTTGTTTTCGCGTGCTGTTTTTTACGTGGTGTTGTTGCGCGCCGTTGGCGGGCGTTGTTGTACGCGTTGTTTTTCCGTGTTGGTTTAACGTGTTGTTAATATTCTTTGTTTTTGTTGTGCATATTTGTTTTCCCACGTTCACGCGTTGATGTTTTTTCCGAATGAAACATCGGCGGCGCCAAGCGGTGCATGCCACGCGCGAGCGGCCGGCATGCAGCCATGCATTCTGGCGAGCTTTACTCAGCAAGGCTACCGAGGGAAAAAAGTTCACGCGCTGTTTTACGCGATGTTTTAGCGCGTTCTTCTTCACGTCTTGTTGTCGGCGCTTTCTCCTGCCATTGTTTGCGCGTTGCTTGCGCGTTCAGTGCGCGCCTTTTTTTGCGCGTTGTTTTTGCGATGTGTTAGCGGGGCTACCGAGGAAAACAAGAAAACGTTGATGTGTCGTTTTTTACGCGATGTTTTTACGTGCCACGGCGCTGCGACAGGCAATTGCTCAATCCACAGCGCCGCGGCAGGCCGCCACTCCACGAATCCCAAGGCCCCGGGAGGGGCTGCTGCATTACCTCGGTGAAAGGAACTCGCCTGGGCATCCGCTCTGGATAGACTGGCGGGGACGCGCGAAGCGTCGAGAATTTGCTCCAGATGCCCTCCACCTCAGCCTGGTACATCTCAGTGGGCACCTGGGCCGGGGGGGGCGAGGTTGAGGACGAGGAGGGGGGGGGGGGATTGCGGGCACCTGGTTTGCGCGCAGGGGGGGGGCGAGGGGGGATGCGAGGACAAGGAAGAATAATAATACGAACTATTCTGATAAGACAGACAAGGAAAACAAACAAACACGAGGGGTGAGGGCGAGGACGCATTAAGACGTGTAGCAAGGCAAAGAGGGAAACGAGGATGGGGGGCCGAAGGGCTGCGCCCTGTGACGCGCAGTTTAATTTAATACGGAAGTGCGCGCAGTATTGCGCGTGCCAACACATGATTTACATGAATATGTGTGTGTGTACGCTTTCACACGTATGCGTATAGATTTGCATGCGCGTGTATGTGCATGTGCATTTGTACATGGCGCGTGCCGCGCGCGTGTCTGCGTATGTGTATGGATTTGTATATATATATATCCATGTGTTTTCACCTAAGTGTTGACGTACGTATGTATATGCGTCGCGAGAGATATATTATATGTTTATGCGATGTATGTACATGTATACGTATGTACATAACAAAATTTTTTATTTGTGTATATATATATACATATATATATGCGCGTGCGTGCGTGGGCAGCGGCGGTGGGAACACGCGCCCCCAGGGGGCCCAGAACGAGCGCGGAAAATCACAAGGGCGACTTACAACACGTTCTGACATGCATCGTTTCTGGAGGAAATCTATATATATATATATATGTATGTATGTATTTATCTATATGTGTTCTATATTGATTGATATATATATATATGTATTTATATGTATTGGTGTACTTGTGTATTTATGTATGCATGTCCTGCGAGAGGTCGGTGACCGTCTCCTGCACCTCAGCCGAACCTGTGACCTGGGAGCCCTCCATCGCTTCCTCTCTTTCGAGGTGGTTGCTGGCGGGGCCCATGGCGTTCTCGACGAGCTCAGCCCCAGCCGCGTTGCCCGTTGGAACGCAGGGGCCCGTGAGGGCGCGCGCCCCGCCGAGCCGGCGTTGGGGGCTATGGCGCGCGGGCCGCGCGCGCGAAGGAACACTTTTGATAAAAAATTGCAATAGTACAGAAATTATCAAAAGTGCCCCCTCCCGGTTTTCAGCCGAAGGCCCAAGGCCCCGCGCGTTGAGCCCTTGAGCCGTTGAGCCCCAACGGCCAATTCTACGTATAGGTGTACGTATGTAGCGGCGTATATGTGTATATGTGTATATGTGTATGTGTATATGTATGTATGTTTGTATGTATGTATGTATGTTATGTATGTACGTATGTATGTATGTATGTATGTATGTATTTATGCATGCATGTATGTATATGTATATGTATATGTCTATGTATATGTCTATGTATATGTATATGTATATGTATATGTATGTGTATGTGTACATATTCTAAAACGGCCAACGCCCTCAGTCGGGCTGGCCCCAGAGGAGGGGGAGGGGGGAGCGGCGAGGAAGGAGTTGGGGGCCACTGGGGGGTGGTTCTGGCAGGCCCCGACCCACGACCCAACGCAGATTGCAGCGACAACTACAGGCCGCCGCCGCGCTGGATCCAGGGCCCCCCCCTCCTGTTGGTGCTCCTCCTCGTGCTCCGCCTCCACCTCTCCCTCCACTTCCTGCTCCTGATCGTCGCCCCCCTCATCTTCTGCCTCTTCGTCCACATATTCCTCGACCTTCACCTCCTCCTCCCCTCCGTCTTTTCTCCGCCCACATATTCGCCGGTGTCGTCTCCCCCCCAGTCGTCGGCCTCCTGTTCGTCATCATTTTCATTGCTTTCGCTCGTTCTTCCTCCTCCTGCTTCCTGGGGCCGCGACTCCGCGATGCGCCCCCGCGTTCCCCCCCGCCCCCCAACCTGAGATTCGAACAGCTTGAGGGTCCAATGGAAGAAGGTGCACAGCCGGTAGTACTCCTCTGCGGACTTGGCGTTGTTGCTCTTCCGAAGCGTTTTCGGCAAGATCTCCCAGTCTTTCACCACTCGGTTCGCCATGGTAATTGCAGCCTCCTGGTGGAAAACACGGCGCCCCTGAGCCCCGTCGCCCTCCCCCTCCTCCGCTTCATCCACCGCGCGCGCCCCCTGCCCCCCATCCTCCAGACCCCCTCTCCTCCTCCGTTGACTCCGAAGACAGCATTTTCCACCGTCCACCCCCCCTCCCCCTCTCCTCCTCCTCCTCTATATCATCATCTTCGTCGTCCTCCCCCAGCCCCCTTTCCCTCTCGTTCCCCTCGCCGCCCCCCTCGTCGCCCCATTCCTCTGCCATCGCCTCCACCTGCCCCCCCCCCCCCTCGCCCTCGCCTCCCCCCTCTACCCCCCCCCCCCCCTATGGGGCCGACGCCGGGGCTCCTCCGTCAACGCCATGTTTGTTTTGAAGGCGGGCGGCAGCGTCTTGCAGGTGAACTCTGCTGTCACGTACTGAGATGCCAAAAATGAATGCGTGATGGGGCCCATGTGCATGCCGTGGCGCTCAACTGCTGTTTTGTAGATCAGTTTAGCGCTGGGGTGCATCCTCGTGTTGATGTTAACGACGGCCTTCGACTCCTCGGGCCCGATCTGTAAACCTTCGGACACAGAGGCAACTGATGACCACCTGTCGAGCGCATTTGCACACGATTGGCCCATGGCGCGCAATTTGATGAACTGGTGGTCCCAATTGAAGCAGTTTGGCCGCCTCCGCGTTGCTGTGGATGACAGGGTGACCTGCGCGCATGCTGCGAGCGGGCGCTGATCGAGAATGGGAATGGGGGGGGGAGGGCCGGGCGGATTATGATGAGGGGGGGAGATGCGGAGGGAGGAGGAGGAGGGGGAAGGGGGATGGGGAAGACGGGCGAGCAGAACAGCCAGCGGCCTCTTGGATGCTTCTTGGAGTCTCTTCGAATGTTTCTTGAAATCCTCTTGCCGCTCTCTCGGGCGACGTGAGAGCCGTCTTGGGCAATATTGGGGACTTCTTGGGCAACCGCCTTGGAGCCCGTCATTTGGAGGAGCCGCCTCGGGGCCTTCTCGGGCCTATCTCGGGCCTCTCCAGGGCAATCTCTGTGCCGCCTCGAGACCTCAGAGGGCAGCCGAGAAAGAAGAATATGCGATCGGCAAACGACGATCTCCTCTTCAGGGGTTGGGCAGATCTTGACCTCTTGGCAGTTTCCTTGGGGGGGCCCGCGACCACGTGGAGCCGCCTAGAGGTGGCCTCGGTGGCCTCTTGGAGCACGTTGAAGCTAGATTGAGCCAGCATGGGCCATATTGAGCCATCTTGCGGGTAACTCTGGGCTCTCCGAGGCCCGCTCGGGCCACGTTGAACGCCGTGACCGCCCGCGACACCTGCCGTCTAGGCACTCCGGGGAAAGGCCGAGGGAGGGGGCTCGCCCCCCCTTGCGGGGAAGAAGGGGTGATGCGAAATGAAGCCCTCTGAACCACCTGTGCCCATGAGAACGGTGGGGTTCCTCCTCTTCGCCATGATCCTCCTCTCCTCGTTCTTTCCTCTTCGCCATGATCCTCCTCTCCTCCTCTCCTCGTTCGTCGTTCCCGCTCCTCTCTTCGTCGATGTCGGCCCTGTGTTCTGATCAGGCAGCGACGCTCCAACTGTGGTCCCGACTACGGCCGCGGGGCTCCAACTGCGGCGCTCGCGCGCGCAAGCCTTGCCTCCTGTTGCCTCCTGCTCTCTTCTGCGTCCGCATCCTCTTCCTCCTCCTCCTCATGCTGACTTCCTCCTCGTCCTCCTCATCCCCATTCGTCCTCCTCCTTGTCGTCCGCCACCCACTCCTCCGCGCGGCTCCTCCCGCCCCCCCCCCCCCCCCCCCCCCCCTGCCCCTCCTAATCCTTTTTTTTTTTGGCCCCTCCCCCCCCCACCCCCGCGCGCGCGCACGCGCACGCACACGCACGCACGCGCACACACACGCACACACAAACACACACACACACACACACACACACACACACACACACACACACACACACACACACGCACGCACGCACGCACGCACGCACGCACGCACGCACGCACGCACACACACACACACACACACACACAAAAACAAAAAAACAACACACACACACACACACACACACACACACACACACACACACGCACACACGCGCGCACGCGCACGCGCACGCGCACGCGCACGCGCACGCGCACGCGCACACGCACGGCGCAGCCCTGGCTGGCAGACGGAAGCGCGACGCAACAAACATCTCGACAAGCCGAGGGAACCAGGGTAGCCAGATTATCCACGCCAGTCAGGGCTGCGTTCTGCGCAATCACTATTCGGGGAGTCGCAAAAGGAACCTCGACCAACATGCAAAACGCGCTCGACGACCAGGGGGAAATCGAGGTGTCCTCCACCCGCCACCCACCCGCCCGCCTCGCGATTCGCGAAGATGGCGTCCTCCACGTTGCGCGCGTCCTTGACATTGGCGAAGACAGCCCTGAACGTCGAGTAGACCTCTGGCTGGCCCCTCATATCTTCCAGGAGGCCACGGCGCATCACGGCCACCGCGATGAAGAAAGCTGCGTTGATGCGCTTCCAGCCTTTCACCTCCATGATCGATCCGGCGTTGATGATCTCCCCTGGTATATCCTCCGTCGTCGGCGGCGTGCCCAGCATCTGCTCCGTGGCGAGGCACGCGACGATCTTCTCCACCCCTGCCATGTCAGAATTGGTTTTGAACCCCCTGCTGCAGATGAGGGTGATGAGGGTCCTCATGTCGTCCAAAGGGGCCAAGCCGCTGTTCCCATACTCCGGGGCGAAGCCGAACTGCCACAGCTTGAAGACTGCGCTGCCAGGGACCACCTCCGTCGAGTACTTGATGCCATGGAGCTCCGGAAAGGCCTCGCATTGGGCGTGGGGCGTAATGCGTGCCAGGCCTTACCTCAGACATGCTTCAATCCAGCCCCATCCACTTATTCCTCCTGCTCCTCCTCCACCCCCCCATTCCCCCACCCCCTTCCCTGTTGCAGTCAACCGCAACGCCTCAGAATACCACTGCGAGATACCCGGATAAGAGCCTAGCATCTTTATGTCTGCATAGGTGGCCAGCCGGGCTAACGCCGCCACAACATGTTAAAACCACGTTTAGCCACGAAGGCCGGTTCCTATCGAAACGATGTTTGCTTCGCGCCTGAGCGCTTGTGCGCTCGGTGCACATAAGAGCTAAACATTGCCCCATGCTTGCGAGGACACCCCCCCCGCCCCTCCCCCCCCCACCTCATCGTCGTTGTTCTCGTCCTCGTCGTCCTCCCCCTCTGCATCGGGCCCCTCCCGCCCCCTCGTCCTTCTCCTCCGCCCCGCCTTTCTTTTTTCGCCATAGTCCTCTCTGCTGCTGCTGCTGGTCCTCCTTCTCTTTCTCATCCTCCTCCTCCTAGAACCCGCCGTAAATAGAAGGGGGTGCGAAATATGGCGCGCCATTCTGGCCCCTGGGAGGAGGGCCTCCTCCATGGCCTCGACGAAAGTCTTGTAGCCAATGCCACCGTCAGAGAATATATAATCCTTGATGTAGTCACTGACAGAGCTGAACTTTTCCTCCTTTACCAGCACCTCGTCAAACTCTGAGAGCACAGCTCTACCCCAGTCTTGGAGGGATCCTTCTGCCAGCGACACCTCGAGCATAGTCTGGTCCACCTTGGCCCGCTTGCCTCCGCGGCCTCCACGCCCATCGGGGTCGCGTTTCATTGGCATGGTGCCCGGAAGGGTGCCACTGTAACCTGTGTGTATTTACTTGTGTGTCTTTGGGCCCCTCTACTGCTCTGCCATGGCTGGCTTTTACCCTCTCCTCCCCCCTCCCTCCCTTCGCGGCTTACGGCCGTTGCTGCTCTGCGGGGCGCGGCACGGGCCCTTCGAGTGCCAGGTGACCTGTGGCGCACAGTGCGCCCCGGAAATCCAGCACGTTTCCGCTCTCAGGGACAGGAGGACGAGGAGGAGGAGGAGGAGGAAGAGGAGGAGGAGGAGGAGGAGGAGGGCACCTTGTGTTTTCTTTTGTAAACTTGTTGCCGGATGCTGGTCCCTGCTGGCCTCCTCGAGAAAAAACGAAGTGCCCAGAGAATTGTTGAAAACGCAGTTTTCGACAATTCTCTGGGCAATTCTCTGGGCACCCTGTGCTTTCTCGGGTAAGCTCGCCGTGTTGTCGGTGGCGCTGGGCCTTCGTCGCCGTCGTCGTCGTCGTACCACTGCTGCTGCGAATATCTCTACTACTACTACTACTGCTACTACTACTACTACTACTACTACTACTACTACTACTACTACTACTACTACTACTACTACTACTACTACTACTACTACTACTACTACTACTACTACTACTACTACTACTACTACTACTACTACTACTACTACTACTACTACTACTACTACTACTACTACTACTACTACTACTACTTACTACTACTACTACTACTACTACTACTACTACTGCTACTACTACTACTACTACTACCACGACTACTACTACTACTACTACTACTACTACTACTACTACTACTACTACTACTACTACTACTACTACTACTACGACTACTACTACTACTACTACTACTACTGCTAAGGCTGCTGCTGCTGCTGCTACTACTACTACTACTACTACTACCACTGATACGACTGCTATTACAACAACAACCAGACATACAACTACTACCCTGCCCAACTACCAACTACCACTAGTACTGCCACTACAATTACAACTTTAACAAGAACTACCAACTAACACTATTCAGAGCCACTCCTACGACATCTACAACTGCCTACCAACTGCCACTGACACTGCTACTACTGCTGCTGCAAATGCAACAACAACACACGTGTTTTCCAAAACCAGCCAAGGATGCCCAACTTCCGAGAGACACGGGCAAGCACGAAACGCGACGCCGAAAAACCGACATGAAACGCAACGCTGGGAGCAAGAGCAGGGGGTCCAGGTCCAGCCTGGGTCCGTCTCGACCGCCGAATCTTTGATTTGTGCCAGATCCAGCCTGGGTCCGTCGCAAAATCGACCGCCGAAACTCGATTTGTGACGGATCCAGCCTTGGTCCGTCGCAAAATCGACTGCCGAAACGTGGATTTGTGACGGATCCGACCTGGATCCGTCACAAAATCGACCGCCGAAACTTTGATTTGTGACGGATCCGACCTGGATCCGTCACAAAATCGACCGCCGAAATTTCGATTTGCGACGGGTCCGGCCTGGATCCGTCACAAAATCGACCGCCGAATTTGGGATTTGTGACGGATCCGACCTGGATCCGTCACAAAATCGACCGCCGAAACTTGGATTTGTGACGGATCCGACCTGGATCCGTCACAAAATCGACCGCCGAAACTTTGATTTGTGACGGATCCGACCTGGATCCGTCACAAAATCGACCGCCGAATTTGAGATTTGTGACGGATCCGACCTGGATCCGTCACAAAATCGACCGCCGAAACTTTGATTTGTGACGGATCCGACCTGGATCCGTCACAAAATCGACCGCCGAATCTTGGATTTGTGACGGATCCGACCTGGATCCGTCACAAAATCGACCGCCGAAACTTGGATTTGTGACGGATCCGACCTGGATCCGTCACAAAATCGACCGCCGAAATTTCGATTTGCGACGGGTCCGGCCTGGATCCGTCACAAAATCGACCGCCGAATTTGGGATTTGTGACGGATCCGACCTGGATCCGTCACAAAATCGACCGCCGAAACTTGGATTTGTGACGGATCCGACCTGGATCCGTCACAAAATCGACCGCCGAAACTTGGATTTGTGACGGATCCGACCTGGATCCGTCACAAAATCGATTGGGGGGGCTAACTCGTCACAAATCTGACCCCTACGTGGGCCATGTGATTTGTGACGGATCCGGCCTGGATCCGTCACAAAAACGCTGTTTTTCCTTCGACTCCTGTCGTTGCGGGGCGCCTCGTGGACGACCCGCCGCCCAAAAAACAAGCGATTTGTGACGGATCCAGGCTGGATCCGTCACAAATCCCAGGGTCAACATCGGGGCAAGATTTGTGACGAGTTAGCTCGTCCCTCTCTGACTTTAGTGGGGTCCAGGCTGAATGCCTCGCAAATCGAAACGGCTGCCAGCCGCAGCTTTGCTCGTGGAAATTTCATAAACAGCGTAATAGCATTAGAAATATAAGCAGTAGTACATATAATAGTAGTAGTAGTAGTAGTAGTAGTAGTCGTCGTAGTAGTAGTACTAGTACTAGTAGTGACAGTAGTAGTAGTAGTAATAGTAGTAGTAGTAGTAGTAGTAGTAGTAGTAGTAGTAGTAGTAGTAGTACTAGTAGTAGTAGTAGTACTAGTAGTGGTACTAGTAGTAGTAGTAGTAGTAGTAGTAGTAGTAGTAGTAGTAGTAGTAGTAGTAGTAGTACTAGTAGTAGTAGTAGTAGTAGTAGTAGTAGTAGTAGTGAGTAGTAGTAGTAGTCGTCGTAGTAGTAGTGGTAGTGGTAGTGGTAGTACTACTAATAGCAGTAGTAGTAGTTAGAGTAGTAGGTAGTAGTAGTAGTAGTAGTAGTAGTAGTAGTAGTAGTAGTAGTAGTAGTAGTAGTAGTAGTAGTAGTAGTAGTAGTAGTAGTAGTAGTAGTAGTAGTCAGTAGTAGTAGTAGTAGTAGTAGTAGTAGTAGTAGTAGTAGTAGTAGTAGTAGTAGTAGTAGTAGTAGTAGTAGTAGTAGTAGTAGTAGTAGTAGTAGTAGTAGTAGTAGTAGTCGTAGCAGTAGTAGTAGTAGTAGTAGTAGTAGTAGTAGTAGTAGTAGTAGTAGTAGTAGTAGTAGTCGTAGTAGTAGTAGTAGTAGTAGTACTACTACTACTACTACTACTACTACTACTACTACTAGTGGTGTGGCGGCATCCGCGTTTTGAAGCCTGCTCTTGTGGCTTGCAGCCCGCCCCAGCAGAATGTCGGACTTTAATTCGTCGTGTTTGTGCTCGGTGCTCTGGGTCAGTTATTCAAAGTCCGGCAGCTCAGGATTGTGCTCGATAGGAGTTGGGTTCCTGACCGAAGTGTTTTAGGAATTCCAGTGGTGCATCTCTGTCGCCTCCGGGGGGGATCTGACCGGAGCCCGTTTGGGGTGACGTTAACCCGGCCGGCGTTTTTTAGATTTGGCTTATTTCGAGATCGAGCCTAGTTCTAACCTACGAGGCCTCCAGGAGCTCCTTCTGGGACGCGATCCGCGGACAGTTCCTGTTCATGTTGAACAGGATTCGCTGTCCACGCCGCTGCGTTGCTTTTTTAAAAAGTAGTAGTAGTAGTAGTAGTAGTAGTAGTAGTAGTAGTAGTAGTAGTAGTGGTAGTAGTAGTAGTAGTAGTAGTAGTAGTAGTAGTAGTAGTAGTAGTAGTAGTAGTAGTAGTAGTAGTAGTAGTAGTAGTAGTAGCAGTAGTAGTAGTAGTAGTAGTAGTAGTAGTAGTAGTAGTAGTAGTAGTAGTAGTAGTAGTAGTAGTAGTAGTAGTAGTAGTAGTAGTAGTAGTAGTAGTAGTAGTAGTAGTAGTCGTAGTAGTGTAGTAGTAGTAGTAGTAGTAGTAGTAGTCGTAGGTAGTTAGTAGTAGTAGTAGTAGTAGTAGTAGTAGTAGGTAGGTAGGTAGTAGTAAGTTAGTAGTAATAGTAGTAGTAGTAGTAATAGTAGTAGTAGTAGTAGTCAAGCAGCAGTCGTAGTAGTAGTGGTGGTGTAGTGGTAGTAGTAGTAGTAGTAGTTAAGTAGTAGTAGTAGTAGTAGTCGTAGTAGTAGTAGTAGTAGTAGTAGTAGTAGTAGTAACAGTAGGGGTAGTAGTGGTAGTAACAGTGTAGTAGTAGTAGTGTAGTAGTAGTAGTAGTAGTAGTTGTAGTATAGTAGTAGTAGTAGTAGTGTAGCAACGCAGTCGTTAGTAGTGGTAGTAGTGTGATAGTAGTAGTAGTAGTAGTAGTAGTAGTAGTAGTAGTAGTAGTAGTAGTAGTAGTAGTAGTAGTAGTAGTAGCAGTAGCAGTAGCAATAGAAATGATCGCCGTCGGTTCGAGGGCGTCTGATTCGAACCAAAATCCAAAGAGCCCGAGACGGTCACCTCCACGTCGTCGTTATCGTCGTCGGTTCGAGGGCGTCCGATTCGAGCCAAACATGGAAAAATTGACCCCCCTAAGAAGGCCCAAGGGGCCTCCGAGACGACCCCAATCCCTGGGGGAATGAAGGGGAGGGAGGCTGGCGACCCCTAAGTAGATTGGATTGGATTGGACTCGGACTCAGCGCTGGGTTTGGGACTAGAACAAACTAACAAACTGAAGAGCGGTTAAAAGCTCATCTATCCCCTACGCGTCGCCTTTGGCGGTTGTCGGGGTTCATTTACTTTTTTCTTTTGGGAAAAAAGCGAATGCCCCCACACACGAGCACAGGCAGTTGAAGCCCGCCACACACGAGACCAGGCAGCTAAGAGAACAGGCTGCCGCTCTCCAGTTTGTTCTCTTAGATGCCTGTTCTCGTGTGTGGCGAGCTTCAACTGCCTGTGCTCGTGTGTGGCGGCTTTCGCTTTTTAAAATAAATGAACCCCGACAGCCGCCAAAGGCGACGCTTAGGGGATAGATGCGCTTTAACCGCTCAACTGTTTGTTCTAGTCCCGAACCCAGCGCTGAATCTGAGTCCAATCCAATCCAATCCATGGGAGAATGGGGGGGAGGCTGGCGACTCGTGAAAAAAACAAAAGGGAGATGCAACGCTTCATAG